CTGCGTTGGAAATAAGTGCACATCAATTTAATATTCTTCATATTTTACCAGTTTAATCTATATTTCACCAGTTAAACCTACATTTTACCAGTTTAACAAACATATTACACATAAAACTGAACAACAAAATTGACATTAAGTGTTCAAGATTTGTTATGATAGACATACATAGAATATTAATACAAATAATTCACATCAGTGTGCACGTCTTTTTCATGTTACGAGCTTGTATGTATGCGCCATCAATGCATAAAGAACTTTGATTTGATAATACTTGCTAGAACGATGCCGTTAGAATCCTTCTTTTAATCGAAATGACGCCTTTCAGCGACTTTTTTTCCCACTTCCCTGGTACAAGTTCAATTCCGTGGCCGAAAAGTGCAAGCTCTTTCGAGGTGAAACTGCTATTGACCTAATTCTTGACTTCATTAAAAGGTGATGTCTTTTCAGATCGCGTTACATTGAGCGAAACAGACGGTAATCTGAAAGAGCAGTTTCCAGAGAATAGATATAATGAGAAAGATCTCCGTCACTTTTGTATTTGCACTAAGGTGTTTTGAATGAAGATAATAATATTTGAATTAGAATTGCGAATATATTTTACAAAGCTATATTTTACAAAGTTACATTCTACACGAACCACACACATTCGGTTTTTATTACAAGCTATTGTGTAAGCACAATTCTGCAAGCACAGAGTTTAATTAATAATCCAAGACAAAGAGTGGCAAGGTGAACATGAATTACAAATCCCAATGAACATCATACTGTTCTGTACAATTAGCCGTGATTACATTAAAACCACAGTGTAAACGTTCCAGAGTAGAGTATTATTCGAATGAATATTCGTCTAAAATATAATAATAATAATTCGTTATTCCTAACGTTTTTCCTAACGTTCCAGAGTTGAGCATTATTCAAATAAATATTCATCTAAAATATAATAATAATAATTCGTTATTCCTAACAAATTATTCCATCTATTTATTTGAAGAATTCTTTATTCTTCATTCGAATAAATTATTCGAATGGAGATCGTAAAATTGTTCGTACAATAATGCTAATAATTTATGACTGTTTCTATTATATGTATATTCTACTATATCAATACATTGATACGAATATAGTATTCTGTTATGCATATACATTCAGAATCGGTTCAATTTTCACTATTCTGCTAATGATACTGTATGCATATTTACTTCTAGTCATTATCACAACGCTTTTTGATGCAACATTTGGAAAAAAGTGAATTATAAAAATTAACAGAGAAGAAATTAATCAATCAATTATGAAAAGAAACATTTCATTTCACTTCAAATCGATTATTTTCCGAATTAATTCCTCTGTGCGAGTAAATACATATTCGAATAAGAGATTCCTTCTTACTCGAATGAGATCTTAATCGAACAAATTTTTATTCAATTAGGTACTTCTTCAATAGTGCCGAATGAAATTGTATTCGTTAGCCTTTATACTTTGTCCGCCATCCGAATAAAATATTGCCCAACTCTGCAATATTCTTCTACCGTATACTATAATTTCGTAATAAATCTACAGTTCGCGAAGCTAATCTTCAGAAACTAATTCCGAAACATTGAGAACCATAGAATCGAGTGTACGCGGTCCTAAAATCCGAAGCTAACAAAAGCGTTGCATTCGATACGTTTCATTTGCGACGACGCCTGTTGTTAGGAAGACGAAACCGCCAGCAGTTTCTCTAATCTCGTGGCTTTAGAAGTTGTCCGAAACATGGCCTACTATACCCTAACTAAATACGGATGATAGCAGCGGAGAAGTTTCGGTAAGCGGTGGGAGAAGGGGCTTATAAATGAAGAGGATAGCCGAGAGATCCGATCTTCCACCTTCGCGCTGGACATGCGCATGATAGAACTGTCACCTGCGTCAGGTTCGACTATATCAAACTGATGATCACCTCCTCAACTATCCTCCAAAGGTGTGATTAATCTTTGCGCATTGTTCGCGGAATGCTCGCATTAATATTTCTGACCAAGATGACGTACAATCTGGCAAA